TGCAGATATATGCGTCAAAAGTACACTTGAACACACTCTGACTCTCCTCCCGAGAAGAGTCGAAGTGTGTCGATTGAGGTCGATCACAATTACAAATGGAAAGCGATGTGTGACGCTTTGTGTCGAATGTGTCGACTGTGTCTCCTAAAAGGAAAGCAGCCTAAATATAGAACAAAGATAGACTGACGCTCAAAGCGCGTAAGGCCTAGTTTATGCCGGCAAATAAAGGCTTGTTTTGGCCGTGTTTATGCGGGTAATAACTGTTAATTTATGCCGGAATTGGTACAGTTCAACTATAGGATTTCAATGCTTTTGTTATATTCTGTTATGCTTATGTTAATAAACAGAAATATTAAAATCTTAGGCCCGCATAAACCAGGCCTAAGCGCCCAAAGTAAACGCACCCTGTATCTATAGGTGCGTTCAGACAACTCAACAGTTGTACAACGGTTGAGAGATAATCACTTCTGATTGGATCATACTTTTGGAACCGTAGCAGATTTTGAAGAATAGTCCTATCATGAGTGATGATCTCTCAACCGTTGAGTTGTCTGAACGCACCCTATACCACGATGACCTCCTTAAAGCCCCTTGCACAATGGAAGGAATAGCGATAGCAATAGAAATAACACAATTTTTAACACAGAATTCCAACTCGTCGGAAATTTTATCGCTATTGCTTATTCCGATTTTCTGATCTGCATTGATACATGTGTAGTTTTGTATGTTAGATTCCGCTGTTTCTACCTTTATTTTTAAATATAAACTCTTTAAAACTTTTGTTATTTCTATCGCTATTGCTATTCCGTCCATTGTGCAAGAGGCTTAAACTGTTAAGAATTCGTGAAGAGAAGTTTATTCTCATTTATTCAGATATACATCTGCATAAGGACTGAAAAATGTTGGAAATTGCATAGAAATTATATAGAAATTTTGAGAAATAAAATACATATAATTCTGAAAATTTAATTTTCTGATGTTAAATTCAATTTTTTTTAACAAAAAAAAATAAAGTAAACAACAGGAAATAACACATTGTTACGTGCTAAAACTATGTTCAGCGCAGATTTATATACATGAAAATTAAATAAGTTGCGTTAATAAAAATTAGGCAACGTGTTACTGTTGCGTTATCATTGCTATCGAATTTGGTTCTAAGTACGTATTAACGTGTTCACTGACGGATGTGTAATTACTCCCTCTCCACGATATTCGCAAGAATGACTCGCCGTTCTCGTTTCATTGTCTCATATGAGACAAATTGATAGATATAATTGCTTTTTTGCGATAACGCCCGTCAGATGATAGCTAACAGCAAGCAAAATGAAGCGAATTGTAATATTTGGCGCTACTGGGAACACTGGCCTATGCACTTTGAGGTCAGCAGTCGAAGATGGTAATTTTTTCTAATTGCATTTCTTGCGTAATTTGAAATATTATACTTATAATTAATTATATGTAATTACAAATTTAATTCATATTTTTTAATACTTGCTACTACATCACTCCCTATACAATAATATATTTATATAATTTTTTATACATTTAGGTTTAGAAGTAAGAGCTTTTGTAAGAGATGAAACCAAAGTTCCTGAAGATCTTAAAAATAAGATTGAATCAATTATTGGAGATGTCACTAATGCAGAACAGGTTGCAAGTGCTGTAGCTGATAGGGATGCTGTTGTGGTGGTACTTGGAACAAGGAATGATTTGAGTGTGTACTTATCATTATTGTTTTTTTTATCATAAATTATTAATTCTATTATTTATCATTAATCATACATACGTGGCTTAAAAAGTTTGGTAAATTTTTATGCTATGGTGCCAAAAGTCATTTAATTATATTATGTCTAGAAAGTTTCATTCCTCAAACTTTTCAGGCCAAATTTCAGCCAAAAATGACGTTGTTCACATTCTGTAGTTGTTTGAAGCAAGTAATTTAGCAGTTGTCATAAAAATGGAAAATAATAAGATTTTCAAATTTAGGAACATGTCACACACACATGCATGTGCGCGCAGAAGTCACATGAAATTAAATCCGAAGAATAAGATGGATGAGGAATCAATTGAAAGCCTAATTCGTATAATTTTGCCATTTTTATGAACTGCTTAATCATTTGCTTCAAACAATTACTGAACGTGAACAACGCGTCCCCTCTGGCTGAAATTTAGCCTGAAAGGGTTTGAGGAATGAAACTTTTCAAGTATCGTATAATTAAATGAATTGTGGCATCATATCATAAAAATTTTCCAAACTTACCAAATTACCTATATACATGTACATTTTGATTGTGTGCTATGTTATAAAATATTATGCTGTTCTATATAACATATTGTGTGTATATAATGTGTGTGTTGTATTCTGTGTATATGTGTTATTCTAGATCCTACTACAGTACTATCTCAAGGTCTGAAAAATATAATTGATGCCATGAAGACTCACAATGTTGAATTAATCTCTGTATGTCTGTCTGGTAAAGTATATTATTATAAGGTCTTAAGTAAATCAGAAAAAATAGTTTAATTAAAATGGTACCTGAAAACTATTGTAATTAAAATATAGAAATATATTACTGTGCACACGACAATGTATTGCGCAAACTTACAATATCTTTTTAGCATTCTTAGAGTACATTTGATTATATCTGGATTTAAGTATATTTTACCTTGTTACATGATGTTACTTTTTTTTAAGGTTTGCTTATAACTTTTTCAGCATTTCTATTCTATAAACCTGAGGCAGTGCCAGCTATATTTAAGAACTTGAATGCAGATCATCAACGGATGTTTGATTTGATCAAAGCAAGTAATTTGAAATGGGTAGCAATATTACCGCCGCATATAGCAGGTACACAAATATAAGAAAAGAGAAACAGCATACAAAATTCTTGACATTTTAAAGAAGTTTTACTTTTATACACTGCAGATATACCAAAATCAAAGTACACTGTCACGTTTGATTCTTCACCTGGACGAGCTATTTCCAAGCATGATTTAGGCGCTTTTCTCATCGAGTGTCTTAAGAATTCGAAATATTGCCAAAAGATCTGCGGCATTGCAACCGCGTCATGATGTAAGAAGAATCACGGAAATGTAAAAATAATAAAATGCATTGTGTTTTGTTTTTAATAAAAATATATATTGTATATCTGTTAAATTATATTTGTATGAGTTTTATGAGATTATATTACATTTCTAAATTCGCTGCATGATTTAAATGGAAAAAGCAAGTGTTTGTGTTATTCTCTCACTTTCCAAAAAAACGAGAAGAAAAGAAAATAACACATTATGTTACACGCTAAAAATGTTTTTTCAGTGCAAAATGCTCTATAGGTACGATCTATACATCGTTACTCCCTACGTATAATCCCGTAACTCCAAAACGCAAATTTTAGAGGAAAGCAGTTTCAAAGTTTACAGGTTCATACGTTTTCCTAGTTAAGCGATCTTTCGGTTTCAAAGTTTTACCTTATGAATACATTTTTTAAATATTTGGTGACCATAAAGAACATGACGTTCTAAATGTCTATACAATAAACTGAAAATCCCGTATGACACTTATGTAATTATACGTAGAGAGTGATGATATAAACAAATAAATAACAATATTCTTGTTTTCCTCAGAAAAACAACACAAAACTATCAGAAATAAATAGAAGCGTAATAGGATTTGGAAGACAAAATACATAAAAAAGCTAAGAACAAATCTGCTTGCTAATCATCTTTAAGTAAAAATTAAAAACTAGCTATATTTATCTTTCAAAGCTGAAAATTATATAAAGATAAGTCTACATTATTCCATGAATTCTAAAACTATATTAACAGAATATTCGCAATATTGTTTATATCATGTCAAACTGAAAAAATTAAATGCATACTTATTCACAAACAATTTCAAACATTGAAAGATGATTTATAGCTCTGATGCGTGATAATGATTTTGATACAAGTTCCTAAAAAAATGCGCTCAAATCCTTCACTAAACTATGATAAACCATGCTCTTCATTAATTTTAATTTATTTTATGAGTTATTTTGTTTCTTTTTGTTTTGTTCTTATTTTATAACTGTGTTTGCTTTCTAAGCGCTAATTTTTAATCTATATGAACGCTCTTAAAGTGAAGCAAGAGTGAGAAATGTAGATACTTCAATGTAATACTAGTATCACAAGTTTTTTACCATGTGCGTTTTTCGCGACTGCATACGCATGTCAAAGAATTGGGATAATTGAAACATAGGCATTGGAGGTGGTGGCGGTGGTGGCGGGTATCCTGTATATTGATCACTATTTTGTTCTTTGAATTTTGTCCTGCCTAGAGGCGGGCTAATAGTTATGATATCATTAATACCGTACGCTTTGAACGGATCGCACACTTTGTATCCATTCTTATAATAAAACACTTCTTGACCATCTGTTTTGAGGTAAATGTTTTTCAAACCCTTCTTTGCTACGTACTCTTCCATGTCATGCAACAATCTAGATCCTAATCCTTGGGATCTATATCGGTAGTCGATTACAACTGTAAAATTGCAAACATAGTTTGTTTTATTGTAGATTATAAAATATATATTCGAGTTTTTTTTATTAACTTGACTTTTTTTACATTTGATTTTAATATTGAATACATGCATTAAAAACAATAATTAAAATAAGTTCTTTTTGCTTACCAGATTCTATGAAACAACTAACTTTTGATCGAGCTACCAGAGATATTTTACAATGACCGAGAACTTTGTTCTCATTGTTAATTAAAACTAAACACGTAGGAAATTCATCACAGGAGACATTTAGAGACTTTATTCTGCAATGTAACAATACAAAAGCGTGCTGAGTGACTATTTCTTCATACCTACCGATAGCTATCCTCTAGATAAAGATATACAAAAAGATATACTTTATCTTTTAGATAAAGTTATCGAGAACTTATGTAAGAGTGAAAAAATTGGGCCTGAGTTAATCTTACTAACTCCTTAAATGGTCTTTCAAACTAAGAGAAATAACATACCGTGCAGTTTCACTTCGAGGCCATTCAGAATTAAGTAATTTACAACAGTCTCTGATTAAATCAGGTCGATGATGGAGGCATACCACTATATATTTGTTTTCCATTATATTTCACCTGCAATCAACATTGCACACTGTTAGGATTTCTATGCAAAAGTTATTGAAAGATATCTTATTTTCATACATTTATAAGAGTTTCATAAATTATTAAGAAATTGTAATACTATAATTTATTTAACTATATAAAAAATTGCGTCGTTCTACTAAATTTAAAACATATTTATAAATTTATAAACATATATGTCTCCATGTATCTTTTGTACAAAATTTTGTACATATACAAATTATTTTTTAAAATAAAATTTACCCTACAATGCGCACATATACAGTCGAACAATATATTATATATTATATATTATATATTATATTATTTACCAATTAAAAACTTTATTGGCGCAGATAAAACTTAATTGCAGCACTTGCTGATGATGAAAATGGTTTGATGATAATTAACGATGTCATTGTTTTCCATGTCGAAATGATATTTTAGTCGGATTTTATCCCCACCTTGCATTTATTCCGCATAACACATCTATCTGGATTACTATGCGTCTCTTTTGCTCGCGCGCATCTAGTGACACACATACACACATACGCGCACGCACGCACACACACCTATCTCTCTAGCTCTCTGTATCTCTTCTCATATTTCTCTGATACTCCGTATTTTTGGCAGATCAGCAAAATGGAAATATACTTACTATAAAAAGATCTCTATTTTACCCAAATATTTAACTCTAATCCTGGAAACATTTTGTTTTTAGGTACGTTTACATTATCCTGTAAACCTTGACCAGTTTTATCTGACGCGATTTTTTATTGGTGAAAACCTTGCAAAAATTTTGTAAAACTAATTGAAAAATGAAAAAAATGTATGAGATTTTATTCAACATTCTATATTAAGTAAATAACATTAGTTTTTAGTTTTTTATTTTTTTTCTTCTACTAAATAGTTAATAAAATTTTCTCATTTTCAAGAATCGCTTGGATATTAATATTCAATTAAGGGTTTTTAGTTGGGGAATCTAGTTGGTGGTACATATATTAGTGTTTCAAATGTTTGTATTTAAATTATACACAGCTAAAACTAACTTCTCTATGATACAATACATGTTTGTTGTATTATTGTGTGTGTGTGTGTGTGTGTGAGACAATTAATTTATTGGCGTTCTATCAACGTCTACGGTTGCGAAGCAATGGGAAAGACTTTTTCAGCGTCCTACTTCTTTTTGTAGCCTCCATTCTAAATGTAGATCTGTACGTGGCCTGCATCTTTCGGAGTTTCCCACGTGACGCCTACATAGATAGATATAGGGAATAAGGAAATAGAACGTGAGGTTAGGGGTTAAAGTTAGATTAGTGAGATTAGGGTTAGGTTAGTTAGGTTAGTTGGGTTAGGTAGTTTAAGAAAAAAGTTTAAGAATAACTAATAGTTTAAGAATAGAGACAAAAAAACTCGGTGACGTTCGTTTGATCACAGGTTGGTGGTTTGGTGCAACTTCCTGACACTTCCTATTATATTGTAGCGATCAGCTTGTCCAGTTCGGCGAATCGCAGGCGCCTAGGGAAAAATCACCGCGGAGCTACCGTCGCGGAAGAGCAACTATGAGAACCCACCTTGTTTTGAGGGATAGAAGGTTCGAGATGAGAAGAAACCGTTAAGCCTATGTCACACTACGGATTAGGATTGAGATTGGATTGCAATTTGGCCAATCAGAGAGAAGATCACTAAACTTAGGATTGGTTTTCTTTTTTCTAATTGGTCAAATTTAAATCTAATCTCAATCCCAATCCGTAGTGTGACATAGGCTTTACATTCTCTCTCACGATTTTGTTAAAAGTAGTTATCATTACACTAGTTTTATTCTATCAGTTTTTGTAAATTTATATATAATATATTGTGATAATAAATATTAAGTGGCTAAACAACATAGTAAGAACATATTCCTACCTGATTAGTAAATGATAAAAATAAGGAAGCAATAAATAAGACACTCCTAATAAATATTAAAGCTGACATAAAAAATCTCCGCTACAATATCCTTTATTTCGGTATGTCCACATAGTGACGCCAGGCCGCTAGGCGGCGCTAGGTAACAGTTACCACGGCATTTACATTTTATGTAACCTCTAACTCTAGTGACTTCAGCAACTTCACATCGTTCACAAAAGGCGATTTTTGGCGATCGTATGGTACATATACCAAAGTGTACCAAACTATAGTTCGAGTGACTTCAAATTATAGTTTGGTACACTTTGGTACATGTACCATACGATCGCCAAAAATCGCCTAAAGTTGTACGGTCGCCAAACGTAAAATAAACAGTTAAAATCAATAGTATTTAAAAAAACACATAAATACAATTAAAAAGTTTATTTTATTTCACTTTAGTTAAACAATGCCACGCTGTATTGCACTTGGGTGTACATATCAGGTTATACATCTAATAAAGAAAAAGTTTATTTCTTTTTTGTTCCAAAAGACAAAAGTATAAAACAAATGTGGCGAGCAGCTTTAAAAAGAACAGACATAATTATAAATACAAAACAAGCTGTATGTCATCATCATTTTTTACCTACAGACATTTTGTGGAAACGTGAAACATGTGATGAAAAAGAAAATGTTTTTGGAGTGATAAGTTGTGTTAGTTATCTAAATTAAATTTGGATTAAATTGATAATGTTTTTTTAATAGTTTTTTATTAAAATATTTATTAGAGGTATAATTAACTGGTAAATAACAGTTTAAACATTAAATAACAGTTATATAACTTATGTGATTGTTATGTTGGAAATGTTTTATAAATATTCGCACACGCATGAGACAATATTGCAATAATATTAATAATAAAAAAAAAAACAAACTCAAAATGTAAAATAATCAGCAAAATATTATAAAACTTAAATAAATATTTTATTCTTACAATAAACGTACTTCATTCCATTACGGAAAAAACGTTCAACTATTGACCGTAACGTACAAAATCACGTTCAAAATTGAACGTATAATGCTGAATATTAAAAGTTTACGGTCAAGTTGAACGTGATTTTGTACGTTACGGTCAAAAGTTGAACGTTTTTTCCGTAAGAGTTTTTTTACCTATTTACTTTATCTTATTTTTAAAAAGGAGTATCCGGAGTCTGTCATATGTGAGATGCAAATCCAGCATCCCGTATGAATTTAGAAATCGAGATTTTAATTAAAAAAATACTCACTTGTAAAAATTTACAAGTTGAATTTATTACATGTATATGAATGCGTACATATATATATATATATACTATTGCCCGCTCACAAGAATAGCGGCTACCCACAAGCTGCCAGACGCGCGGGGCAAGGGGAATCGTCTCTTCGCTCCACCTTATCTCCTCCACTAGGTAGGTTCCATCGAGGNGGCGGGGGTATGCCCACAAGCGAGGAGAACCATGTGAACTCACGGACGCGTTCTCGCTTGATCGACTATCGGTAATATTTGTCGGTAATTGCTCGATCTGGGNGTCGATTCTGTATGAAGCAATGTACTGAAAATTACAAAAGTGAACGTATTTACTAAAATATCTATGATCTTATTGATCCATAACTAGTAATTTGGTTCACTTTAATAATTTTCACTACATTACAAGTGCGATGCTGTTTGCTATCGACAATGCTGATTTTAATGCAGCACATTTTTTACA